TGTAAGGCTGTCATAAATGGGCCAGCTTAGCCTCAATCAGCCAAGTTGCTACTTGTTAATGTGAAAGCAAAATATATATATACATCTTTTAGAAAAGTTCTATTGAATGCAGAACCTTTTAAAAAGACGATTTCACACTGAATACAAAACTGCAATGAAACCCAGTGTATTCAAGAAACCATCACTTCTGTTCAGATTTCTGTCAATAGATTGAAATTTATTAATGTGTCCCAAACAGATGCCTCCCATTCCAGTCCTTTCTTTAAATTTCTTTGTCATTCCACCTTTTCTTGTTATACTTTTTTGCTTCGCAGCCTGGAACCTGGCCTTTTTGGTGCTCCAGTGAGCATCAGAATGGCATTGTGAAACTCTTGACTGTAATGAAATCAACTATGAACTATCCCATCTACTTTGCTGTGCCTACTTGTTTGGAATTTTTCTCTGAGTTTTCTAGTTCTTCCCAGGTGCGTCATGTTTTTCAGGATAGTAAAAAGGATCCCAGCACTACTAGCTGCTGTTCATCCACCCACATCTCATGTACAACAATTTTCTTCAGTTTTATTGCCCCATTGCCTACAATTTTCTCACCCCATCCCCCAATGTCTCAAAGTTAAAAGTACTGCCTTGTTGCGATGATGCAAGATGGGCTCAAAATGTTGCAGGATGGCAATATAACCATATAACAAATTCTTTCCCCTTCAACCTTACCCTTTTCTCCTCCAAATCATTCCGCATCCTCTTCTGCTCCTCTTCATCAAGAATCTGGTTGCCATCTTTATCAAACTTTGCAAAGGCCGCTGTGATTTCATGCTCAGCATGACCAAGCCTAAAAAAGAAAGGGTAAAAGTAGTGAGTGAGGTGCAAAATGCTTTGGCAACAATTCATTAGATTCTAAATGAAAGGACTGGCAAAATGATTTGGGATTTTTCTCTGCAAGATATATGATGGTCTCTAGCATTTAAAAAAGCTTTGATGATAGATAGTAGACGGGAGTATGATGAAAAATTTGGAGAGCTCATTCCATCCACTGAAGCTACTTGCTTTCTCAAACTGTTCTTGAAATCCTCAAATTCTAGTTCCTTGGTCCCTTTTTGTAAAGCTTTCTGTACATCAGAGATACGGTCCTTGTTCAGCTTCAGCTTCATCAGTGTTCTGTTATAACCCTACAATGAAAGAATGCAAAGAAAAGCAGGCTGGTTTGGAAATAATCCAGATTATTTTCCAACTTTTAAAAATACAAGTCACCTTGTTTGCAAGGGGCAGCAGGTGTGAAGTTGTGATATCAAATTCCTAGAGCTACTCATTTTTATCCAAATCATTTTTTTCCTCTACCAGACTCTTTGGATGACAAGATCATCATGCCCTTTTCCCACTAATTTTTCTGCTAAGTCTTGAGAAAAAAGTTAACTCAATGAACAAATCTTTCCAAATATAATCAACAATATGGAAAAATGTTGTAAATGAATTAAAAAACCTGTTTCAAGATGTCTGACAACTGCAATTCATTTTTCTGGTTTGAAAGTTCCTCTTTGACTTCAGAATAGGTGTCATTGATGATAGCTAGGAACATGTTCTGTGGAAAGAAAAGAGAGGATCCAGTAAAGCCAGCCACATGTAACTGTTATTGCTCTGAGGAAATGCTTTGATACTTTATTTCCTTTGTAAGGAATCGAAACTTTCAGTATTTGTTAATGTCATGTTGAAGCCCCTCTTTTGATGTGGGCAGTCCAATTATTATTGGATGAACTTTTGCTTGTTTGCAACTCCCAGAATTTACATGACACCAAACTTTTTTCTAGATGTAGCAGTACAGAGACTTCTTCAGAAATCCTGACTCCTTGAAAAAGGCTGGGGGAGCGGCAGAAGGTGAGCTGATCTAAAGGGAAGTACTTTACTGCTACTGACACAGTTTCAATTGTACTGTCCTTTGTCTCAGACAC